AAGACAGGAAGACAACAACCCAGTCACAAAAGACAGGAAGACAACAACCCAGTCGCAAAAGACAGGAAGACAACAACCCAGTCACAAAAGACAGGAAGACAACAACCCAGTCTTAAAGACATTAAAACAAGTTTTGCTTGAAGTCTCATACTGCAGATTCAATTATATTTTTGGTACACAAAATTCCTGGGTATAAGTGAATCATAAAAATTTTCAACAAAATTAAAATTCCAAAGGGCTTTATGAAGAAATCGTCGAAACTTGTACAAAGAACCTGCGAAACAATAAAACTAAGTGTCAATGAAAATGAGAATAAAAAAGGGACAATTTATACGCTTATTTGCCTAATAAGTGATATTTCCATAAAAGAAATGGTTTTTTAATGAAATTATATTTGAATTCATGAAAGTTTAACTATATTTCAATATTTTTGATAAACACTGAAATTTAATATTTTTGCTGTTTCATTTGAGATTTTGAAAAATGAAAGATTGGTTTTACATATATCCAACATGAACACATTTTACTAATGTAAATAATTTTTTTCCACTTTTTCAGGTACATGATTGAGGATCTGTATGGTGCAAAGGAATACTTTGTCAACATGAACATCAGTATCTGTCTTGAGTTTGACCAGCCATGTACAGTCAGTACAGTCGTACTCTCCAATAGTTATCTCCCCATACAAGACTGTAGTTATATCAAAAATTCTAATATTTTTTCTGTATCTGAATATCTTGGTAATAAAGGACTCTCTACAAGCCAGAATCTAAGTAGTGCTATAATCTCCCAGGTTCTGGAGAGGCTTGATGTGGCTGAATACGTTCAGGACGTACAATGTAATAGGAGTAGTTCTGTATACATTCCACAAACATCGACCGGTTGGAAAATAGGTAATTTATTTCCAGGCCTTTAGGTCATAAAACTTTTCACAGTGTTTAGAATACAAAATTGTGCTTCAAACACCAATCAAATATTTTGATTGATTGAATTCTGAGTCTGAGTATGATAATCATACGGCCCGAGAACACAGTTAATTTGTAGCGCATTTCTTTTAGGTAATAAATTCAAATTATAAAAATCACACCTGCTCTGTCTCAAAAAATTTCTACAGTGTATAGTGTACTACTTTCGGGACAAACAATATCAAATTATGGAAAATTCTATGTTGAGGGGATCTATAATTCAGTATTTCATGCATTGAAAATAAAGAAAGAAATTTGTAAAGTGTATAAAAAAAATGTACAAGTTATACACTGTCCACACTATTAAAGGACTATATTTGTAGACGACTAAAATCAAAGGAAGATAAATGTGTTCTTGGACCATACTCAAAATTTTGATGACTGCAAGGTTAGGACAGGCATTGTTTAATGAAGCCTCATGATTTCTGATTTTTAAATTTTGCCTAAGGTGTTTTTATGATATTTGAAGGATTTGGGCCCATAAGACAAAAAATCATGTAAATATAAAATAGAAGATTATGTGGGTTTTTCATATCACATCCTATATCAACCAGTGACATTAATCTAAATACTTAGCCCTAGCATCTGATATGGTTTGTGACTATTACTGGCATTATCAAAATACATGTAAGGGTTATACATGTATGTTTTCTTTTAGGTGCAGTGTAATTAGATATTCAAAACATAGTATCAATATTAAAGAAATGAAAATACAAATATTTCTTTTTTTGATAGAACATGAATATTATATTTAATCACTATTTTTTTTTTTTGTGAACTTTCCTTTTCCTGTTCCACCTGTTCCAGATTGTTTAGAATCTATTGGTACCATCACCACTTTATCAGGACCAATCTCTTGTAATGTGCCTACCCAATGTTCTGCAGTGTCTTGTTGTGTAAACATAGACTTCCTTCAGCGGTCATTTCATGCTTCAGTGGATATTGATCCGTGTGATAAGAAGTTTATGATCAGTATAGATGATCTTCAGCTCGACCTGTGTTATTTGAAATATCAGTGGGGTATGTAAATCTGCGTAGATACTATAAATTCAGAAATTATTGTATTCATTTATTATTGCAAATCCCCAACTACTGGCAAAAACACAAAATTCAATTAATGCGGTTGCAAAAATTTTGGGAAGGAAAACTATTCCAGAATTATGAATGAGAGTTTTTATTATTGTGAAACTGATCCTGTCGCATTTTTCGCATTAACAAAAGCATTACAATAGTTTCTGAATTATTAGCAGTAACATTAATTATAAGAACAAACTATGTTCAATTTAATTCACTTGTTGTATTATCTGAAAATGCAGTAGATAATTTTCGTAACACGTTAAGCAAGAATATGATATTTATTATTCCCATTTGTGTAAATTGTTTATCCGTTTCAACTAGAACACATTTCAAATAACAAATCTTAGTTGTTTTATTGGTTGTTTTATATATTAAAGTTCTAATGTGGAAAATATTTCCGACCATATAATGATTTATTGTTGTTTCTTCACCATTCAAAAAGTTGAGTTAAGTTTTATAGTATGTATAAACATTGTAGTAGTCACAAGTGTACAAAATTCTTATAGTAATTATAAGGGGCTGAATTAAACACCAGAATGGTTATCTTTTTTAGCTCACCTGGACCGAAACTTTAACTGCAAAAATGATCAACAAGACAAGTTCTACAAATAAGTCTCATGGTCGAAATCGTCAGTCAACTCCTTATTACAGTTATTGCCCTTTGATGACGATTTTTACCGATTTTATGGGTTTTTGCCTTGTATCTTAAAAATTATAAAAGATAGATAGAAACTTGAATAAGCAAAAATGATAAGCAAGACAAGATCACAATTAAGAAATTTTGGAGGAAATCGTCTGTCGACTCCTTATTGGAATTACAGTACATTCCGGTTATTTGCATAGCCTATTTGTCAGACGAAATTATGCAATTAAGCGGAATATGCTTATATCCGAAATGCCAAATTACGGAGTCAAACAACATCGATAGTGCAGATCAGTAAAGGAAATCCCTGAAGAAAGATGAACGTCCATAATCCACTTACAACATATTGAATGCTTATTTATTCTAATAAAAGTTATTTGTCTAGTGTCATACATGTTATTTCATTGTGTATTCTTTCAATAAAGTTTATAAACACATTTTGTTTAAGTTCATTTACTTTTCCTTTACCTGAGATACGAAAATAAAATTGTTCTAAAAATAGATTTGTTTCTATGACCCGGATGTACAATGTACATTGTTACGCTTTGATTAAAATAAACTGTTTAACAATACTACACAGTTTATAATCATTTTAAACAATAAATGTGTAATGAACTGCCTTTGATATGCAGTATTTACCGATTGCACAGTGATGTAACACTGTTACTTTAACCTCGTTAGTTTCATATATGCAAAGCAGTTAACAGGTAATGAGGCCCTGCACGGGTTATTTGCTGGACACGAGTGTTGAAAGTGAGAAAATATAATAATTAGAAGTTAATGTTCTTTTCAAAAAATATTAAAAATAAAAGATTGATGTATAAAATTCTTCAACCAAATATAAATGCTCTGTAAAATTTAACATAAGTGTAGATCACCCCAAGCCGAATTACGAGATTACACATTGGATAATGATCGATAATTAGCAGGTGTTATTGTTTTAAAAATTCACCCAAAATGTAATCTATGAACAATGTTTGAAATCCAATCAATAATTAACACCTTTTGAGATAGAATGGTCGTGTTTTTACAACAATCATCTGTTTGACATTTTTATGACCTCGAGGCTTAAAATAGAACATGGGAAACTTTACCTGTGTACACATCGAGGCTTATTTTACAATCATATGAACACGAAAGAAACTGTTTTAAAACTTTATTTAAATAACACAGAAGTAAATATGAAATAATAACGAAAATTATGATGCATTCAAGAAAAATATACTTACCAAATTGCCGTTTCCGGTAAAAAATCTCGTCAGTTTTAACTAAGCATATCTAGCTGGCGATTATTTTCTATGCAATTAACCGAAATGCCACTCGTAAGGCTATGCATATAACCGGACAATTTAACATTAGATGAATGGGAAATGGTTTTGTGCAGGAGAAAAGTATGCAATTAACCGAATTATGCTATTAAGCGGTATGCAATTAAGTGGAGTCGACTGTATTGCCATTTAATGACAATTTTTACGATTTTTTGTTGCATCTTACCTGATATGAATAAAGTTATAATAGATAAACTGAGCAACAACTGTAGAAGATAGAGAGAAACTAAACAGACTAAAAGATCAGTAATACAAGATCAACAAAACAGAGATTTTTGTCATGAATTCTATACTTGTCTACAATGTTGGAGAGTGTCCTTTGTGAAATATGCACATAGACCAATGTGAGCGACACAGGGTCTTTAGAGCCTCTAGTTTGAATGGGGATCAGATGGAGTGAAAATTGAAACAATTCAGATAATTTATTTTTCAAATATTTTTTAGGTAAAAAGGACAGATTTAAACTGATGGATATGTACATTATTGAGTATGTATAAAATTTAAATTAAGAAAAATTAGTCAGTCTTTGATATTTGTTCAGTTGTTTAGTGTGAATTTCCAAAATAGTCAACTTTAAAAAAGAAAAAGGAGTTGGGATCCAGAAGGGTAGCTTATTCACATTAATGATCAGTTTCTGCTCTGCATTTGGTAAAATACATGCATCAAATCCTGAATTAACAATATACTGGACACTTGTGAGAAACACTACTAAGCAATTTCAGCCATTAGTCCATATATTTTGCAAAAATAACTAATTTTCAGTCAATATAATTTTGCTGTAATAAATTGATTTAATACCTATAGTCTATGTGTGTTTCAGTTTTGTAATAGACCACACACCCTCAGTTAGACAGTTTAAAGTAGATATGAACATCAGTATCTGGTTCGACAACACCACTCCATCATACAGTTGGCAGATCTTTAAACAAAACATACTAACGTACAGTCAGTGTGACTTTGATACAGAATTTGGACCAGCAGGTATAGTTTGATACAGACTTTGGACCAGCAGGTGTAGTTTAATACTTTGGACCAGCAGGTATAGTTTGATACAGACTTTGGACCAGCAGGTATAGTTTGATACAGACTTTGGACCAGCAGGTATAGTTTGATACAGACTTTGGACCAGCAGGTATAGTTTAATACAGACTTTGGACCAGCAGGTATAGTTTAATACAGACTTTGGACCAGCAGGTATAGTTTAATACTTTGGACCAGCAGGTATAGTTTGATACAGACTTTGGACCAGCAGGTATAGTTTGATACAGACTTTGGACCAGCAGGTATAGTTTAATACAGACTTTGGACCAGCAGGTATAGTTTGATACAGACTTTGGACTAGCAGGTATAGTTTGATACAGACTTTGGACCAGCAGGTATAGTTTGATACAGACTTTGGACCAGCAGGTATAGTTTGATACAGACTTTGGACCAGCAGGTATAGTTTAATACAGACTTTGGACCAGCAGGTATAGTTTGATACAGACTTTGGACCAGCAGGTATAGTTTGATACAGACTTTGGACCAGCAGGTATAGTTTAATACAGACTTTGGACCAGCAGGTATAGTTTAATAGGAATTTGGGAAAATGTAAAAAAATCAGTATACAAAGTGTTACTTTAATTTTCAAACTTGTTTGAAATGATTTTTGCTAATATATTTTTGCTTCAGATTAAAAATCAAAGGAAAACATATGAAAGTTGTTGTTATTTTCTGGATTTTCTCTCTTTAGGAACATGAAGTTTTTCTGGATTTATACCCCCGCTTTAGAAAAGTGGGGTATACTGTTTTACCTCTGTCTGTCCATCTATCAGTCCATCCATCCATCCCATGAATATTTTTCGTCGCATCTTTCTCAGGAACTACATCATAAGGATTTCTGTAATTTGGTTTCAGGGTTTATATAAGTCAGCTATATCGTGTGATGTGTTTTCAGATTCATCACTCAACAACTTCCTGTTTACCGAAGAACACTTACATCATTTTACACATGCTATCCAAGTTGAAAATTTTTGTCACATTTTTCTCAGGAACTACATTACAAGGATTTCTGAAATTTTGTTTCAGGGTTTATATGAGTCAGCTAAACCGTGTGATGTGTTTTCAGATTCATCACTCAACAATGATTATACCTAAAAACATTGTGGTTTAAATATTCCAAATGTATATTTGGGTGGGGGTATCATCAGTGAGCAGTAACTCGCAGTTTCACTTGTTATTTTTCTACTCATCAAAGTCACATTAATAAATAGTTCATGAAAATATGTTGATTGTTTGTCTTAAAAGTATGTTTAACTATTTTCTTTTATTTGCAGGTTTCTCCTTAACAGCATGGTACACACTACAGGGACTCACTTACCTTCAAACTCTGACCCAGCTTCAGTCTTCTAAACTTTTACAAGAATTAGGCATTGGTGACCTCATGTCAGATGACCAATGTCAAAGGTCAAGTTCGACATATAGTCCATCAGCTGATGGATGGAAGAAAGGTTGGTTTAGATTGTATATCGCTGTCAGATAAGAATAAATGGAGTAGGTTTAATGTCATCAGACCTAGGAATTTATTTCAAAATGATATTAAAATGGTAAAATTGAACTTAGATGATACCTTCTAAATAGTTATAACACTAGCAATATTAATGAAAAAATAAGAAGATAGCAAGGAGGCAATGAAAAATCACAAGTTGAAGAAAAACAGAGAATATTTGGAAATAGTCACTCAAAGGCTGTTGCTTTTCACCAATGATAGATTATGCAGTAGATTTCACATAAATGAACTATGGTGAAATAAAATCAATGTTTCACCAATGTCCACATTCTTTATGTGGCTGTCCCTAGTCAGGGGCCTGTAGTTCAGTGGTTGTTGATGGTTCATGTCTGTAATATTTGTTTTTCATAAATTGTTTTGATATAAATCAGGCCGTTAGTTTTCTCTTTTGAATTGTTATATATATCCTGTAGGGGCCTTTTATAGCAACCTATGTGGTATGGGTTTTACTCATTGTTGAAGGCCATAAGGTTGCCTTTAATTGTTTTCATCCATACCATTTGAACTCTGGTAGATATTTGTGCCATTGGCAATCATACCACATCTCCTTATTATTATTATATTGACATCAGAATGTTCCTGTAACAGGGTTTTATCATTATAGTAATGGAGAGTATGTACATTTTATTTTATTTGTCTCTTCACTCAAATGTGACCTACAGAACAAGACTTATCACTTGGTTTGTACTTACATGAGTAACATGATGTGTGCCACATGTGGATCAGGATCTGCTCACCCTTCCAGAGCACCTGAGATCACCCCCAGTTTTTTGTGGGGTTGGTGTTACTCATTTTTTGCAGTTTTCTATGTTGTGTTTTGTATACTGTTGTTTGTCTTGGGGTTGTTTTTTTGTTTTTTTGTGGCATTTTGAGTTTGAATATCATTTTGGTATCTTCCACCTCTCTTTCACAAAGTCCTTAGTGTTTGTATGTATATTAAACTTTCTCAAATTCTTGCCTTCTTGATGATATTGCATAAATTTCATTTCAATTTTTCTGTAGCAAAACATCGACTGCCGTTATCATATGGTGTAATGCAATGTGAAAATGGTAGGAACTGTTCTTGTGTCGTACAAACATTGTCCATCTTTGTATCATTATTATATATACCATTATTCTTGCTCCAGATTGTGTATTGGATGTTACAACAGTCACCTTGCCGTTGTCCACAACCTCGTCCACAACCTGTGTTGTCAAGGATACCTGTTCTGCTGTGGATTGTTGTACAGAGGTTGATTTCCTCAACAGACCTTTCAACACATTTCTATATATAGATCCATGTGACCTGACATTTATCATCGGAATAGAGAAACTTGTTTTAAATGCAAGTTTGACATCTGACCCAAATTTTGAATTTGGTAAGTGAAATACATGCAATACTTCCTACCATGATAAAGTTTGTGACTTGAGATGAAGAAAAAAATAGATGGAAGTTCTTATAGAAACTTGACATGTTGTTTAAAAGCTTATTTTTCTTTGATCAATATGAAATAAAAAAAATTAAATTAAAAATTAAATTAAATTTGATGATGAAAACAATTTGATACTATGGTATATATTTGTTACTGTAAATTCAAAAATTATTGCATGCATTTATTATTGCGATTTTTGAAGAAAATCTGCATACACTTATATGTATCAGATATCAGAATGCAAGTTCTTTTTATTGTGAGTCTCAACAAGTCGTATTAATCGCAATAATAAAAACATCGCAATAATTTCTGAATTTACAGTAATTTGTGATATAAAGTGGTTAACTCACAATTATTAATTTTAGGTGTTGAGAAGCAATTTAGCTTCAAAGGAGTTGTCAGACTGACGTAAGTGTTTTGATCATTTAGAAATAATGCTAAAAAATTTGGTTAATCCTAGAAAATTTTAAACAATGCAGTTCATATTTTTTTGTGAATATGCATGAAATATTTGCCACTGGATGTTAAGCATACAGCGATCTACAAGTCTGTCAGGTTTATTTGTGAGTTCCCAGAAGACATGTAGTTCTAGTAGGTCAAATAATGCTGACTCTGAACCAACCAGTCTTTGCTCTTATGGTAGATAGTAAGATTAGACTAAGTTAGTAGCTTATGGTTAGATCTTTTTTGTCATAAATTATAAATATTTGATAACGATTTGGAATTACATCACCTCTGTATTGACCATGTGGACCATGTGTATTCACAAAGTAAAAATCGTTTTCAATGCGATATTGCATCTTACCTGATGCTGAACTTTTAACCAACAGTAAGTTTCAAGACCAAAAACAATAGAATAAAACAACATGACTTAAGTATAACAGGTTTTCTTGGTAGTTAAATTAAGCATTATCTTATTGCAGTTACAAAATAGAAGATTTATCAGTAGAGAGACAGTATAAAGTTAGTCTGAGAGTCCAGATCTGTTTCAAGTCTACACCATTAGACTGTATAGTAGACTTTAATGTGTTTGACAACTCTCTTGTTCCCAAGAAACAGTGCTCTTGGAATGCAGGATTCTCAGATCCAGGTATATTAATTTTTTCACAGCAAATGAATTAAACTTTTTTAAGTATTTTTTTTAATTCTCTTAAACACATAAAATAATGGTCTCATCTACCTAACAATCAATTCAACGGGTAAGTTTTAGACTCTTTTTGCAGGTGATCATAAATTGAATGCCTTATTTTTGTCTCACATCTATGTTAAGCAAATTATCATATCATATGTTTTCTCTTTTGAATGTATCACTATTTGTTATCATGGGGCCTTTTATAGTTTACTATATGGCATGGGTTTAGCTCAATGTCAAAACCATACTTGAACTTGCAGTTGTTCACATGTTTTGTCTGCAGAGTTTTACATATTGTCAGACCTTTGATAGTTTCTGTTAAATTTGTTCACTGCCATGATAGTTCAAAAGAAATAAATATTGAGCACATTGTTGGATTATCAATATAAAATTAGGAAGATGTGGTATGATTGCCAATGAGACCACTTTGCTTCAGAGACCAAATGACATAGGAGTTAGCAACTATAAGTCACTATCAGAATAAGCATAAGCATTAAAACATTTTGTAAATATGTCAGATTTTTATTTCAGATTTTTCCCTGAGTTTTTTTCTGGGTCCAGATTATAAAGTGGGAGATACACTACCAGATGCCAAAGTGACAGAAGTTCTCAATGCCTTAGGGATTTTATCATATGTAGAGTCCAGTCCATGTGACATCTCGTCTGACACATACAGTCCTAACTATAATGGATGGAGAAAAGGTAGACATTTTTTATAGGAATTAAGAAAGCATTGAGGAGTGTTTTTTAAATGAAAAAGTGAAATACTGTAAAATTCAGAATATTGTGATGTTTTTATTAATGCGAAAAATGTTATAGAATCACGTTGGCACTAATAAAAACTCACATTCATAATTTCATTAGTGATTTTCCTTCATAAAATGTTTGCGATCACATAACAGTGGTCAAGGATTGGCGAAAAATAAATGCACACATTAATTTCTGAATTTACAGTAGTTGATGTAGATATGGTATAGATAACTTAATCGAATCACAAGTATGACTTCAGACATATTGATGTATTTAATTACTAATGATGGAAAAACAGAACTGTATTTGAAAATGACCTTTGTCAAACCACCCATTGATCTTGGCAAATCTTCAAACACAGTACCCTTATTCTTATTGAAATTCAATATTCATAAATGCTGAAGATTTATATTTGATTTTCCCTAGACTGTGATGTTGATGTGACCTTTCTCAGTCCTCCCAGCATTCCAAGTTATGCCATGTGTGCACTACAATCTTCCTGTACATCTGTTGACTGTTGTGTGAACATTGACTTTCTACAACGTGGATTTAGAGCTTCAGTTGACCTTGACCCTTGTAACCATGTTCTGACCTTTGGCATTGAGAGGCTACAAGAACAGATCAGTCTGAACGGGTATACCTGGGGTAAGTAGTTTCCATGGATGTAACATAGTTTTATTGGAAGTAATCAGTTCCATTTTAGCTTTATAAATATCCATTTGAAACAAAATGTAGCATTGAAATTTTGGGCAAATCTGGAAATTTTTATTGCCCCACCACTTTGTGGTGGTGGCCATATAGTTATACCTTTATCCCTCATTTCGCAACGAACAGTTATACAGACTTTTTTAAAATGCCTTCACACATTGAGCTGATTTTTAGAATGTGAGTCTACTAGGATGAGTTACAGATCAAGTTTACGTTTGGTTAGGCTCCGCTGATTTTTGCCAAAATGAAGGGCTTTGGACTTTGAAAAATTCTTGAAAATAACAGTTATGCAGACTTTTTATAAATGCCTTCACATATTGTGTTGATTTTTATTAAGTGAGTCTACTATGACGAGTTACAGGTTAAGTTTAATGTTTCATTCCGCTCTGCTTATTTTTTCCGAAATTACAGTTTAGGTTTTGTTCCTAACTGGTGACGATTTTTGCCATGAAAACACTTTCAAATTTCCACTCCTAAAAATGGCTTCAAGCTATTTTTGCGAGTGGGGCCATTTGGGTCATTCCAAAACATCTAGTTTCGTAATTTGTCAGACACATACTTTCTGTTTTTGATTCTTTGAATTACAAGTAGGGGTATGATTAGCATAACAAGCATGCTTTCTTAGTATGAATTGCATCATCAATAAATTTTATATGTTCTTCTTTTAAAAATTTCTTTCAAGCTTTTTAAGTAAGGTTGTATGAAATAAGTAATAGTTCTTGACTGTAATGAGCAATTCCAAGAATTTATTTCATTTCATTGATATTTTTAGGTACCCAGGAAACCAGGACTTTGATGAATGTTGTAAAAATTGTGTAAGTATGATATTTCAAGAATAACTTAATCAATTTCAAAATAGAAATTACAGCTCGTTCAATCATGTTGAACATGACAAAGTTTGATTTTTATGCCCCCGCGGCAGCAGAGGGGACATTAAGTGTTACCCTTGTCCGTCTGCACATCCGTTGGCACATATGTACCTTTGTACATCCCTATGTACGTCCCGAAATTGGTTTTGTTCTCTAACTTAAGTTTGCCTTAACCAAATGTTATGAAACTTATACACAATGCTTATTACCACAAAACGGTTCTAGAGTTATGCCCCTTTACAAATGCTGAATTTTTTGTTTCCATTCTCTAACTTAAGTTTGCCTCAACCAAATGTTATGAAACTTATACACAATGCTTATTACAAAAAAACTCAGATCAAGTTTGAATTTGGGTGGTGTCACTTTTACCGTTCTTAAGTTATGTCCCTTTATAACTTTATATGGAAGCGGGGCATCATCTGTGTCCCATGAACACATTCTCCATTTTCTATCTATCAAAATTACTGTATCCATTTCTCCTGATAAGGTTTGCCAAATGACATCACACAAATTTTAAACTTTGGATGATTCAGTGAAGGCCTAGATCTCAGCTTCAGTCATTTAATGGAGAGATTTTATCCTTGATGTTCTTTATTTTCATAGATTTACCATCACAGAAGACCCTTTGGAGTATAAGATTAATCTAGATATGAGTGTATGTTTTGAATATGGAGTAGCTTGTAACTTTGAAGTGCCTGTGTTCCAGAACACAGTCTTACCTAAACAGTTCTGTACAAATGGGACTACATTCATTGATTCAGGTGAGTGATTACTTTTTATGCCCCCCGCCATCACCAGAGGGGGCATTAATTGTTACCCTTGTCTGTCCGTAGGTCCCAAAATTGGTTTCTGGTCTCTAACTTTGGTTTGCCTCAACCAAATGTTATGAAACTTATACACAGTGCTTATTATCACAAAACACAGGTCAAGTTCGAATTTGGGTGGCATCATTTTTAGCATTCTCGAGTTATGCCCTTTATAATGTATATGCAAGCGGGGGCATCATTTGTGACCCATGCATTCATTCATTTAGGTGAATAAGATCTTGATTTGATTTTGTATCTTGAAGATTGAGGGAGTTGTAAGGATCATGTCTGACAAAATTGCTGTGATGTTCCTTTGACTAGCTTGCTCCTACTTTATTAATTTTTGGATTTAACTTTAAAAAAATATAATTTATTGTTTATCATTTAATTTTCTTAGTTATGGCCCCACCATGTAGTCAGCATTGCCTGATAACTTTGTCTGCCTGTCTGTCAGCACTTCTATGTTGTACCATGAGGCAATCTTGACTTGACAGTTTTTATGCACAGTGTTATTACCTATTAAAAGAACGCCCCTTTTGTTTTTTGTGAAATTTTGGACAAAAACTGTAGGAAAAAGCTTAGTTTGCAATAAAAAATCACAAACATTGAAAACTTCTTTTTGTGCTAGGATTTCAACATAAATTGATATATAGGTGTGATATGCTATTCAAAACTGTTTCCTGGTTTCAAAAATAGATTTTTTGTCTCGCCCCGACAGAGTAAAAAAGGAGACGTATATATGCTGTTTCTTGCAGCAACATGGTGTCAACAACAAATGTTAAATTTTGTGATAAGGTCAGTTTAAGGGGAACCACTATTGGTAAATCAATCATATTTGGTATGCAGTTGTATAAGCATTAGCACATCTCATTTCCATGGAGATTTTCAAGCCCTGCCCCTCAGTCATAGTCTATTGACTTTGAATCTTTTGCATAGTTTGCATGTTAAAGTTTGTGGTTAGATCAGTCTGGGGTAAACCAATTTAGCACCCCTGCCCCCTCCCTTTCTACTGACTTTTGCCTAGTTTAGATGTTAAATTAGGTCAGTTGAAGGGGAACGACTTATGAATAGTCAATGATATTTGTTATGCAGCTGTATAAGAATTGGCACATCTCATTTCCGTGGAGTTTATTTGACCACGCCCCCTCAGTCATGGTCAGTTGACATTGAAACTTTTGCATAGTTTATATATTTAAGTTTGTATTAACAGTCAGTTTATGGGGAATCACTAAGTCAGTAATATTGGGTGCAGTTATATTAACATTGGGATATCTTATTTCCACAAATATTATTGTGCCTTGTACCTTCATTTATGGTTCATTGACTTTGAATATTTTGCATGTGAAAGTATTGCTGTTTTTTTCAACATTTGCTTTTCATCAACAAATTACATACAGGCAAGACATATCTCTGTGTCAACTGTTTATTTTATTTAAAAGTGGGGAATTTATTTTTTCATACCTCCTCCTTTCTTTATTTTTACAGAATTTTCCTTGTCACAGTTTTTGTCAGATGAAGGACAAGCTATGGTATCACCACTACCATCAGGGATATCTACCACTTTGTTGACTACATTGAAGATCACAGATTTCTTAAAGTGGAAACCTTGTTCCCATTCTGTCATTCCATACACTCTCACTAATGGAAGATTCAATAATGGTGAGTATTTAAAGTCAGTAGGTGGCATTACAGTTGAGGGGTCACCTCGTTCCCATTCTATCTATCCATATAAGTATTTTGAGATATAAGTTGGTGTGAGATGAGGGGATTGCATTCTGTTTATCTTGCACACTTACCACAAAAGGATTAGAATAAAAAGTCATTAGAGATAGGGAATTGTTGTAGGGAACAGAATTTTCAGTTTTCTTTTAGACACATGATATGTTGTCAGTATAGGTTACCAATAAGGAAAGGTTATTATGATTTGCCTCTTTTTAGTCCACTACCGATGACGTGGAAGGAGACTTTAGGTTTGCACTCCGTCAAACTGTCTGTCTGTCTGTCCATCCGTCAGTCCAGCAAATCAGTTTTCCACACTTTTTTCCTTCTTGCTTGTCAGAAGATATTGATTTGATAATTGGTACAGTCGACTCCACTTAATTGCATACCGCTTAATAGCATAATTCGGTTAATTGCATAGTTTTCTCCTGCACAAAACCATTTCCCATTCATCTAATGTTAAATTGTCCGGTTATATGCATAGCTCTACAAGTGGCCTTTTGGTTTATTGCATAGAAAATTATCGCCATCTAGATATGCTTAGTTAAATCTATCGAAATTTTTGACCGGAAACGGCAAGTTGGTGAGTATTTTTTCTTGAATGCATCATTATTTTCATTATTATTTCATATTTACTTTTGTGTTATTCGAATAAAGTTTTAAAACAGTTTCTTTCGTGTTTATATGATTGAATTTGATTTAAAAATAAACCTCGATATCTACACAGGTAAAGTTTCCCATGTTCTATTTTAAGCCTCGAGGTCATAAAAATGTCAAACAGGTAATTGTTGTAAAAACACTGACCATTCTATCTAAAAAGGTGTAAATAATTGATTGAATTTCAAACACTGTCAAAAGATTACATTTGGGGTGAAATTCAAAAACAATAACGCCTGCTAATTATCGATCATTATCAAATGTGAACTCCCGTAATTGGGCTTGGGGTGATCTGCATTTATGTTAAATATTACAGGGCATTTTTATATGGTTCAAGAATTTTATACATCAATCATTTAATTTTAATATATTTTGAAAAGATCATTTATTTCTAATTATTATATTTTCTCACTTTCAACACTCGTGTCCAGCAAATAACCCGTACAGGGCCCCTTTACTGCTTTGCATATACGAAACTAACGAAGTCAAATAAACAGTGTTACTTCACTCTGCAAGCTGTAAATATTGTATATCAAAGGCAGTTTAGTACACATCTATTGTTAAAATGATTATAAACTGTGTAGTTTTGTTAAACAGTTTATTTTAATCAAAGCGTAACAATGTACATTGTACATACGGGTCATAGAAACAAATCTATTTTTAGAACGAATTTATTTTCGTATCCCAGGTAAACTGGTAAAGGAAACGTCGGTACGCAAATAAACTAAAAAAATGTGTTTATAATCTTTATTGAAATAATACAAAATAAAATAACATGAATGACAATAGACATATAACTTTTATTAGAATAAATCAACATTCAATATGTTGTAATTGGATTATAGACGTTCATCTTTCTTCAGGGATTTCCTTTACTGATCTGTTCTATCGATGTTGTTTGACTCCGTAATTTGGCATTTCGGATATAAGCATACTCCACTTTATTGCATAATTTTGTCTGACAAATAGGCTATGCAAATAACCGGAATGTACTGTATATAGTTTTATTATGACAAGTTACATATCAAGTTCGAATTTTGTTCCGGTCTGATGATTTTGTGCAGAGTTATTGTCCTTGGACTTAAAAAATTCACTTTAATGATCAGTTTTCCACACATTTTTTCGTCATGCTTGAAGATATTGACTTGCTATTTGTTATATTGTTTACACCATGACAAGTTATAAATCAAGTTGGCATTTTGTTCCAGTTTAATAAATTTTTATCTGGTAGGTGACTATGTATTGCCATGCAATACTCTCAGAATGCTTGTTAACCATGTAAATTTTTTTAGGGAAAACATTTTGCTATTTTGAAAATTAAAATAATGTCCATGAGAATTTATATGTCTTAAGATTAGTTCTTCTATTCGTTGCATTATAAATTGCTTTATTATCACTTTTCCTTTTAGAATGTGGAGAGTTCACTGACAATGTGACCTTACCGTCTTCAGTATCTTGTAGTATAGGAGCCTTCTCTTCTATATGTTCAAACATTTCATGTTGTACCCAGCTAGACTTTGTCTCTAGGGGTATTGAGACTAAAGTCATTGTTGATCCATGTAATTATGAGTTGACCATACATGTTGAGAACATGACAATGACCACATCCTTGTTGGATTACCAATGGGGTACAGAGAAGACATTTTCACTCCAGGGAGGAATTAGGATCAAGTAAGTACATGGATAGTTTTGTCTAGGATAAAATGGCACAAGAGGCTTAATGAAAACTTAATACTGTATACATAATTTTTATTTTGGCCGAAAATGAATAACATACAAGACGACACACAGAGACAAAAATAAATGTACACAAAAAACACAAGGCTACACAAATTTTTTATCCACCAAACAATAAAAACAATTTTAAAATATAAATAACTGAATGGAAACAAGGTACGGTATGTCAAAAAAAAAAAAGAAAAATGGGAACAGTAGAAAATTTTGTATGTCAAACCATGTACTCTAACAAATTCTAATTGATTAACCTTAGGATAAGGTGAATACTAATCACTTTTAAATATATGAGAAAGGTCTAAGGGACATAACTAGAAAAAGCAGACAAAATTTGCATTGTGTAATTTCTTGTTTTTGAATAAAAACGAATCAAGGATAAAATAGACACAGACCTTGTATTGAGTAAACTTCACACTTACACTGTACACCATAAACCATTACAGCTTTCAAAATTACCATTTATAAAATTAACATATTTAAGAATGTTGGAAATTTCAATATATCTTCGATAAAACAAACTCAATTTAAAAAAAAATACCCCCTTCCTCATGCACCCTACAAAATTCCCAATTGCACCATACACTGTCAGATTCGTCACTCAACAACTTCCTGTTTACCGAACACTTGTATTATTTTACACATGATAGCCAAGTTGAAAATTTTTGTCGCATTTTTCTCAGGAACTACTTGACAAGGATTTCTGAAATCTGGTTTCAGGGTTTATATAAGTAAGTTACACCGTGTGATGCGTTTTCAGATTCATCACTCAACAATTTCCTGTTTACCGAACACTTGTGTTATTTTACACATGATAGCCAAGTTGAAAAGTTTTGTCACATTTTTCTCAGGAACTACTTGACAAGGATTTTTGAAATTTGGTTTCAGGGTTTATATAAGTAAGTTACACCGTGTGATGCGTTTTCAGATTCATCACTCAACAATTTCCTGTTTACCGAACACTTGTGTTATTTTACACATGATAGCCAAGTTGAAAATTTTGGTCACATTTTTCTCAGGAACTACTTGACAAGGATTTTTGAAATTTGGTTTCAGGGTTTATATAAGTAAGTTACACCGTGTGATGCGTTTTCAGATTCATCACTTAACAACTTTTTGTTTACCGAACACTTGTATTATTTTACACATGATAGCCAAGTTGAAAATTTTGGTCACATTTTTCTCAGGAACTACTTGACAAGGATTTTTGAAATTTGGTTTCAGGGTTAATATAAGTCAGCTTTACTGTGTGATGCGCTTTCAGATTCATCACTCAACAACTTCCTGTTTACCCAAATATTACGGCGGGGTATCATTAGTGAGCAGTAGCTCACAGTTTTACTTGTTTTTTCAGTTTCACTTTGAATGATTTAGCCAATGAAAATGTGTTTATGGTGAAGTTTAGTATCCACCTGTGTTTAGAGACCAGTAACCCAAATAACTGCGTTGTCGACCTGCCTATAATGGACAATGTGAAATTACCAAAAGGGACCTGTGACTGGAAAAAAGGATTTAATAATGACAGTAAGGCTCATTTATTACTCTCAAAGTTGGAAATAGCAGAAATAATATTCAGCGACAATGAAGCTCTGTTTCTAGAATATTCTATAACAGTTTACAAGAACGAAAGAGACAATTGATAAGATATAAAGATTTAATTTACTAATATACAAAACAATTTTATTTTAGATGTAATATTAATGATTTATTTCCCTTGCTTGAAAACTGTATATCTATAAGTGATATAAATTGTTAATTGTAGAATTCATCTTACAAGGCTGGCTAGGTGAGACTTACACAAATAAAGATATTCTTGATCCATATGTTGTCAATGAGTTGATGAGAGATTTACACTTGATTGACTACCTTATGGAGCCTCAATGTAATGTGTCTACAGCCCCATATACACCAGTGAATGCTCAAGGCTGGAATATAAGTCCAGGTTTGTATAGTAATAATTATGCTTGCGTTGAGATTGATTGGCTGCAATAGACTATTTTCATATTACCGACTTTTGACTCTGAAGTTTATATTTTTTCGACAGGTTACCCACTATGTTGTAGGACATCCTGGTACTTGGTCAAGTAAGAGCAACTTAAAGAAGTAAAATCAAGCTTACAATCGGTACAATTTGTTTAATGTTATCTGTCCACGATAAAATCACAAGATGTCAGTAAACTTTCCCACCAAATTGCACGGATTCCATGTTTGATTTTACTTCTTTTGTTTGCTCTTACCTGACCGAGTACCAGGACGTCTTGGCAAAGAGTAGGTAACCTGTCGAAAAGTTATAATAAGGAGTCAAAAGTCTGTTATGTGAAAATAGTTTATTGCAAAGGTTAATAAACTAATATTTTTATACGACCACAAAAAATGACCAAATTTTGTTATGGTGATGCCTGTGTCAGCGTCTGAAGACATTTTGGTTCAAAGACAATAACTTGCGTATAAGTGTATGGATCTGTATGAAATTTTAGCACAAGGTTCCTTACCACAATAGGAGGGTTGGGATTGTTTTTTGGGGGTATTGTTGTAGCTATTTTGTAATTAGGGGCCAAAAACAATTATTTTTCTGGTTTTAAGACAATAAATTGAGTATAAGTGTATATATCTCTATAAATTTTAGCACAAGGTCCCACACCACAATAGGAAGGTTGGGATTAATTTTTGGGGGATTATTGTCATAGCTGTTTAGGAATTTGGGGCCAAAAAGGGTCTAACAACAATTATTTGTCTGGTTTTAAGACAATAAATTGAGTATAAGTGTATATATCTCTATGAATTTTAGCACAAGGTCCCACACCACAATAGGAAGGGTGGGATTAATTTTGGGGGTTATTGTCATAGCTGTTTAGTAATTAGGGCCAAAAACAAGCATTTTTCATGTTTCAGGACAATAATTTGTGTATAAGATAAAATTGAGAATGGAAATGGGGAATGTGTCAAAGAGACAACAACCCAACCATAGAGCAGACAATAGCTGAAAGCCACCAATGGGTCTTCAATGCAGCGAGAATACCGCACCTGGAGGCGTCCTTCAGCTGGCCCCTAAACAAATATGTATACTAGTTCAGTGGTAATGGACGTCATACTGAACTCCAAATTATACACAAGAAACTAAAATTAAAAATGATACAAGATTAACAAAGGCAAGAGGCTCCTGACTTGGGACAGGCGCAAAAATACGGTGGGGTTAAACATGTTTTTAGCTCACCTGGCCCAAAGGGCCAAGTGAGCTTTTCTCATCACTTGGCGTCCGTCGTCGTTAGCTTTTTACAAAAATCTTCTCCTCTGAAACCACTTGGCCAAATTTAACCAAACTTAGCCACAATCATCATTAGGGTATCTAGTTTAAAAAATATGTCCGATGACCCCGCCAACCAATCAAGATGGCTGCCATGGCTAAAAATAGAACATAGGGGTAAAATGTAGATTTTGGCTTATATCTCTGAAACCAAAGCATTTAGAGTAAATCTGACATAGGGTAAAACTGATTATAAGGTCAAGATCTATCTGCCATGAAATTTGCAGACAAATCTAACAACCTGTTGTTGGGTTGCTGCCCCTGAATTGGTAATTTTAAGGAAATTTTGCCGTTTTTGGTTATTATCTTGAATATTATTATAGATAGAGATAAACTGTAAACAGCAATAATGTTCAGTAAAGTAAGATCTACAAATAAGTTGTCATGACCAAAATTGTCAGTCGACCCCTTTAGGAGTTATTGCCCTTAATAGTCAATTTTTTGTAAATTTTTGTAATCTTTTACAAAAATCTTCTTCTCTGAAACTACTGAGACAAATTTAACCATACTTGGCCATAATCATTATTAGGGTATCTAGTTTAAAAAATTTGTCCGATGACCCCGCCTTCCAACCATCATGGCCGACTTGGTTAAAAATAGAACATAGGGTAAAATGCAGTTTTTGGTTTATATCTCTGAAACTAAAGCATTTAGAGCAAATCTGACAGGTGGCAAAAATGTTCATCAGATTTAGATTTATCTGCCCTGAAATTTTCAGACGAATCCGACAACTCGTTGTTGGGTTGCTGCCCCTGAGTTAGTAATTTTACAAAAATTTTGCAGTTTTTTGTTATTATCTTAGATATCATTATAATATCTAATATCTAATACTATTAATTATGATTTTAACCTTATTTTACATGATTTCCAAAGCATCAGTAAATACAGGTGAACGACACAGGCTCTTGAGAGCCTCTAGTTTGATATCTCAACCCTCCCCCTATACCTCTAGCCAATGTAGAAAAAACAGACGTACAACAGTACGCACAGTAAAACTCAGTTTAAGAGAAGTCCGGGTCCGATGTCAGAATAGGAAACAAAAGAAAATAAACAAAATGACAGCAAAACTAGCAGTTACTGACATGCCAGCTCCAGACCTCAATTAAACTGATTGAAAGATTATGTCTTCATCATATGAATATCAGGCACAATCCCTCCTGTTAGGGGTTTAGTATTATACCATCATAAAATATATGAGAAGAACATAACCCGTGTCATGCCAACAACTGGTTTTAGAATAAATATGTTTAATTCCGATGCAAAGACCCTATAAGTGAATCAATATTAAAGCCAAAATATGCAATCTTTAATGACCTGACAACAGTATCGTAACTATATCCCTTCTTAATAAGTCTGTTTAAAGGTTTTGTTAGCTTTTGAGGTGAATACTGACATTTTTGTGCTTTGTAAAGAATATTACCGTAAAAGATTGGATGTGAAATACCCGAACGTATAAGATATCTGCATGTTGAGTTATATTTACGAATGATGTCCTTATACCGATGATAAAATTTAGTAAATATTTTGACTAGTTTATGATATTGAAAACCCTGGTGTAATAATTTTTCAGTAATACATAAATTTCTCTCGCTAAAATCTAATATGTTGTTACATACACGAGCGAATCGTACAAGTTGAGATATATAAACACCATAAGATGGTGACAAGGGAACGTCACCATCTAAAAATGGATAATTAACGATAGGAAATGAAAAATCATCTCTTTTATCATAAATTTTTGTATTAAGCTTCCCGTTAATGATATAGATATCAAGATCGAGGAAAGGACAGTGGTCATTGTTAGTATTAGCTTTATTTAAAGTAAGTTCAACAGGATAAATTTCTTTAGTATACATACTGAAGTCGTCATTATTGAGAGCCAATATATCATCCAAATATCTAAAAGTATTGTTAAATTTTTGTATCAGATGTTGTTTCGATGGGTCTTTGCTGATTTTAGTCATAAATTGTAACTCATAACAATACAAAAACAGGTCCGCAATAAGTGGTGCCCACAGTTAGTCCCCATTGGAATTCCGATAACTTGACGATATACGGAATCTCCAAAGCGACCAAAAAGGTGATCAAGTAAAAATTCAAGGGCAGATATAGTATCAAAGCATGTCCAATTGACATAGCTCTTTTGTTTGTTGCTACTAAAAAATGACCTAAAAGAGTTTGAACAAATGTATTCGCATAATCCGACTTTAAATGCCCATTTAATTAGGTGTGTGAATTTTTTCTTAATAAGAATATGAGGCATAGTGGTATATAGGGTAGAAAAATCAAAACTTTGAACAGATTCAAAATCACCAATATATGCATGCAATTTATCAAGTACTTCCAACGAGTTTTTGACACTCCAAAAGTAGTTAATTCCACTTTTTTCAAAGGCCTTATTTGAACAATTTATTATAAGGTTTTTGATTGTACCAAGTGTACTAGTAAGTAGAATAGACAATTTAGTAGTGGAACAATGACTTGAAGACGAAATAAATCTATATTTGTAAGGTGATTTGTGTAGCTTCGGAAGCCAGTACATAGTTGGGACTTTCATTATATTTGGTTCTACTTGTAAAGAAGAAGCTAATAGTTTATGTTTATTACAGATATCGTTTTCTGAAAATGAAGTCAGTTGGAATGTTGGTGAATTCGTGATTTCCATTTGCAGAACCTCAATGTAAAATTTACGTCAAACTATAATTATATTATTAGCAGCTTTATCAGCCGGGACAAAAACAAATTCCTTGGCTAGTTTTTAGTTTATGTTTGATATGAGAAATAGGATTTTTATGGTTGTTGTTAAGAGTAAAATGTTCTCTAAAATATGAAATTGTGTTGCAATCCTCTAAAATTTTATTTAATTTTTTTATAGGTAAAGAACAGAGCTTGGTTAATAGATAATGTCTGCCGTTGTTTTTTTAAATAGAAATTAGGTCCGAAATATTTGTATGGTTGGTCTGAAATTTTCTTTGATTGCGATTTTTTCTACGCCCATGAGAACGGTTTTTACGAACAGTTTTAGAAACTATATCCAAAATGTTAACAGAATCGGTTCTTGATATATTACCAATTCCCATGATATTATCATTAAGACCGAGAGGGTAGACTGTCTGTAATTTTTTAATCCAATTTAATTCAATTATTTTTCGTGATCGTACAAACTTTGAATGAGATTCACCAGGCTGCTTATGTATAGAGTATAGATTTCTATGAAATTTTACTTCAAGGTTCCATACTTCAAAAGGAAAGTTGGGATTGATTTTTGGGGGGTCATGGCCCAAAACGTTTGAATTAGGGGTCGAAAAGGGGCCAAAAAACTAGGATTTTCTGGTTTCTGGACAATAACTTGAGTATAAGTCTATTAATTGTGCCACAAGGTGTTATAACATAAAATAAAGTTTGGGATTGATTTTAGGGGTTATGACCGTAACAGTTTACACTACAAACCAGTAAAAGTCTATAATGGCCTATATCTGTACTCGACTGTACTGATTTTTACTCGACCAGTCTGAATTGGTCTGAATTTTACTTAATATTACTCAACCCAGTCTTAACCATACTCGACTGTACTGATTTGTACTTGACCCTTATCTTTGCTATTGAAAATAGTCTAAACTATTACTCGACCAGTCTGA